AAATATATATAAATAAAAAAAAAGATGGCAGCAGAGCAAAAATAATCCACCGGGTGGAGAGACAAAGTCCGAACGGGAAACAAGGGGCATGAATACTGGCCGGGGTAAGGCCTGAACCCGAAGACTCAGGCCACGAGTGTGTTGCTGGAGTGGTGGGCAGGGGCGGGAAAGCTGAAGGAAGCATCGGGCTGGAGTGACCAGCGAGCAGGGGGAATGAGTCGGGTTCTTTCCCCAGTGTGGATAACAACGGACGCTGTGGCACCTACGTGTCCTGATTCTGACCAAACCTTTGTGAGCAGGTGCTCGGCTCCTTTCGGCCCTCAGAGAGATCACACCCCTGCAAGAAAGTGGCCACGGCAGCCCTGGAGCAGCCCAGGCCTATGGTCTGAGAGGACTCCCGAGAGGAGGCGACGGCCACCTTCCCTCACCCTCCTGCCTTCTGTCCCCCAGCTCTCTGACCCTGGCAGCTGGACCAATGTAGGGCCTTCCTGCTAAAGCCTCCACCACAGGTGACGAACACCAGCCAGGCAGGACGCTCAGTCCAAGGGCTCATGCATCTGGGCGTGAGGCCCTGTGTTCAACCTCCATCCCATGAGAAGCTAAATAGACAAGAGGAGCGCAGGGACCCGCATTACTGAGGTCAAACCTGTCTAGAGACTCCCTCTGGGAGGACCTTGCTCCTCTTCCCCACCAGTGGCAGCATCTCTTCCTCCCAGAAACTTCCAGTAACAGACTCACTGCCCAGGACACCTGGAGGAACCAGGTCCTTCCTCCAATTCACCCCCAAAGCCCCATTAGTCCCCTGCTGGTCACCCCAAGGTCCCTGCCTGCTTCCACACCTGCCTCCTCCACTAGTGACAGTCGTGGGGCCAAAGCAACAATGCAGTGGGTAGGATGCTTGCCTTCCAGGCAGATGACCTGGGTTTGACCCACCCCCATATGAGCCACCAGGAGTGATTCCTGAGCGCAGAGCCAGGAGTAACCCCTGAGCATTGCCGGGTGTGGCTCCCCAAACCAAAATAACCAAAATACAAACAATAACAACAAATAACAAATAACCCAAAACAAAACCACCAGTGCCAGTGGCCCAGGGCAGGTGCTGTCTGTCCGATCCCCAGGCCCCTGAACTCCAGGGTCTGAGGGGGCTGGAAGCAAACCAGCCAGTCACAGGCCAGAGCCCAGATTCAGCCCACCCATCTGACTCCCAGACTGATGTCCTGCTCACTCTTAAGGGACCCTGGGAAGAAGTGACCTTCCTGTGCGGACAGCTGGGCCCCACTGCATTAAGAGGGAGTGCACTCCCAGTGGCCAGGAGCTTCCGAGCTGCTGGGCGGGTCCGAACATCTAGAAGAGAGGAAACACCTTGGGGTTGGAGTTGGGGTGGGATGCTGTGGCAGAGACAGAGTTAAGGAGCCTTTAGAGATGGTATAGCACGCAGCCAACACAGGTTCGACCCTGGCACCCGACACGCTCCCCTGAGCCCTGCCTGTAGTGACTCTGAGCACGGAACCAGGAGTAAGCCCTGAGCACCGCTGGGTGCCCTCCCCCCCCCCCCCCAAAGCCTCCAGGAAGAAGCACAATCTTCATCTGGGGAGGAGGGGGTTTGTGGTTGCCCACTAGGGGAACTTTTAGTCCTCTATGGAGAAACAATGATAATCACAAACCAAGGGACAGCTACCACATGCCCAGGACTTCGGGGAACATTATTAATCACCTTCACACTAACCCCATGATACTTGCCAGGTATTTATAGGTAAGAAATGAATGCTGGGGTCATGATTCAGAGACTCAGAAATAAATGTCGAAAGAGATCTACAAGTAGCAGAATTTCTCCTGGATCCCGCACAAGGCTGAGTCTTCCCAAACAACCTAGAGGGGTTGAATCCCTGCACCTGACAAACAGAGCCCTGGCAGCAGAAAACCTCCACACCCTACACTCACTGCCAAGCTCCCAGCCGGATCCCACTTCGGACGAGCCTCATCCAGAAATTAATCTGTGGTAAAACTCAGGTATGCGGGTTTGTGACTGAAATCTTCAGCTTTCACGGGGCCAAGGACAGGCGACCTCCCCCCATCTCCCTGTACTTCCGGAAGCCTGGCAGTCGCGCACAAAGCCACCAGTTAAGAATCTAACTCCAGCTGTATCACTCTGTTAGAAATTTTGGACACCTGGAGCGCGCAGCTGCAATCTGGACCTCGAGACACCTCAAACTCCGTAACACTGATAAGCCAGGAGCAGCACACCAGATTGGCTGTGAGAGAATGTAGAAGGCAGCCAATTTCAATTAACAGGATATAAACACAGAGGCTTAACCTGTAACAGCATCTCTGTAACCTCTTGTACAAGGGCTTAAGAGCTCCATGGTGAGATACAACAATCTTTACTAACTTTCTTCTAAGGAAACATTTTTTTGATCATTCTTTTAGCAAATTATTTATAATAAGCAATGTAAACTAAATGATTGTGAAAACTGGAAATAATGGTAGTGGGGAGGAGGTGGTGGGATTGGTGTTGGAATATTGAATGTCTAATTAAACTAAGGATGTAATAAAATGATTTTTTAAAAAAAGAAATGAAAGCTGGGATGGAACTTAATAACTCATAATTCAAGAGGCTGGAGCACAAGCTTCGTATGCAGGAGGCCCAGGTTCAGCCCCCAGAACCTCCTGGTCCCAAGGACCACTGGGAGCAAACCCAGAGTAGAGTCAGGAGTAGCCCCTGAGCACTGTTGGGTGTCACCCCCCCACACACCTTACTCCCCACAAAAAGCCCCCAAAGACATAAAAAAAAATAAGCATTAACACTATGGTAGACATATGACATAAACAATAATTAATCAATAAAAAAAGGAAACATGAAAAATAAAACAGGCTTAGGGAGTTCAGTGAAACGCTGAAGGGAGCTGGGGCCCAAGCCCAGGAATCTGGCCCGGTGCTTCCGGTGTGAGTTCTGATGCTCAGCCACCTTGGAGCAGGCCCGGAGGTTCTGCACAGCGGTGCTGCTGGGCACTGGGCAGGACAGTGGCCTGCCTGGCTCCAGCTGGGGAAGATCCGGGGACCCGCATCCTGGGGGTTCACACAGCCTGAGGGCACTGGCTGGCCCCTGTATCACTCCCGCTTGGTCCTACAAGAGCACCTCTGCCGGGGTGAGCACTGGCTAAGGAGGCTGGCTGGCCGGAGAGGGGGAGGGAGGCGCTGGCCTTCCTGGAAGCCCTCAGGAGAAGGTCAGCTGAGGTCAGGAGACTTTGGAGAGGTGACTAAAAACAGCCGCTGGGACAAGGGAGCGGGCCCCTGCCTCTCGGTTGGCTGCTCACAGACACAGGCGGGCCAGGAAGGCGAGGGGGCGGGGGTGGCAGGCCCTGAGTGACAGGCAGGGAGGAATCAGTGGGTTAATGTCTTTGGCCCTTGAGGCTGGGCAAACAGGCAGGTGGAGAGCTGGAAAGGTGGGGGCTCCGGGCGTCTGTTCCACGTCACCAGGCAGGAACCATGCGCTGGAGCAGCTCAAAGGGCCCGTCCTGGCCTGGGGGTGAGGGTGGGGAGCGGCATGAAAGACCCTAGCGCCTCTTCATTTCAAAGGTGTCTGATATGGAAGGCTGGGAGAGGCCTCTCGCTCTGGGGGCAGTTCAGGGGCTGAGGGGCCGTGGAAAATGTCACCCCCTGGACAAAGGCTGAGAGTCGATCGATTTTGAGGAACGGCTGAGAGAAGCCCTATGGTGGGAGCTCTGGTTCCAGCTCCGACCGTCTTTTTTTTGCTTTTTGGGTCACACCGGCAATGCACAGGAGTTACTCCTGGTTCATGCACTCAGGAATTACTCCTGGCGGTGCTTGGGAGACCATATGGGATGCTGGGAATCGAACAGAGGTCGGCTGCTTACAAGGCAAACGCCCTACCCGCTGTGATATTGCTCCAGCCCCCAGCTCCGTCTTGCTGGAAAGCTTCCCAAAGGCCAAAGTGAGGTGCCCTGTGCTCGGGGGACCCTTCTGGGGCTTGTGCCTATAGCGTGGGGCAGTTGTCTCGGAAGCAGCTGCCGCTCGGGCTCTGTGCCCGCTCCTGGCTCACTGCCATGAGGTGCATGCTCTGGGGGGGAGGGGGTGTCCTGGGAAATCTCTCTGGTTAGCGGGTGTGCTGGGGGTACCAGGCAGGCTGTCGAGGCGGCAGTGCTGGGGCTGAGAACTCTCTCCCAGAGGCCAGCCAGCAGCCGGGACGGTCTCTGCGGGGTAGGGGGAAGCAGCCCGCAGGCCTCTGCCATGTGTCAGCTCACAGGCGCTCTGAACAGTGACCTCTGCCGGAATGGGGGCCTGCTCTGGTGCCTGGACATGACACACGGTGGCAGATGCTGCCCTCACTGTCCCGAGCAGAGGCTGGCATGGGCGGGCCGATGCGGGGAATGGGGCCTCTCCCCATGGGAGGGGAGCCAGTCACCCCATAGAACCAGGAGGCTGACTGTGTGCCAGGACTAGCCAGGGGTTGGGCATCTGTCAGCCACGGTCCCTTGCCTTGCTCTTGGCATCCAGTCAGGAAGCAGGCCTGCCCCTCCCGCCCCCCAGAGTTCAGGGGCCATGACAGCAAAGGACCACCAGCTTCTGACCCCATATCCAGGAGGAGGGGGTGGGGAGGCAGCCTGGGAGACACAGGCTAGTGGAGATGGAAAGGTCTCCCCTGTCCCCCAGACCTGCCCTGTGATCACCGGGATAAGGGGACACTGGGGCGATCAACACTCAAAAACTCTCGCAGGGCAGGAGTGATGGTGCAGTGGGTAGGGAGCTTGTCTCGCACATGGCAGATCTGGGTTTGATCCCCAGAAACCCATATGGTGCCCTGAGCACTGCCGGGTGTGACCCAGAAACCAACGCAAATCAACAAAAAGAACTCTCCCGGAGCCCACCAGCAAGGGGCTGGCAGGGCAGCGCACGCACAGACCGAACACACCAGGGCCCACCAGTGCTCCCCCACAGTGGCTCCCGTCCTAGGCTCGGCTCTCGGCGCAGCCTGCCCTCACCTCCCTCCAGCAGCTCCTTGACGGTGCGGTAGTCATCGGCAAGCACGGCGTAGTGCAGGGCGGTGCAGCCCTTGAAGCTGGCGCGGTTATTCAGCCGGTTGTTGAAGTCGTCCTCTCTGGTGACCAGCACTGTGGGGAGAGCGACATGGGATCTTCCGTTAGCCAGACACCGCGAGAACCCATCTATGCCCTCTGGCTCGGGGCACTCACCTGCCAAACACACAAAGGCACCTCATAGGCGGCTGACCTGCTGTGCAGTGTGAGGACCAGCTGTGCAGAGGCTGAGAGTGGCACCTGTGTCCACGCACGCATGCACGCCTGCTGGGAGGAAGGGCCACCAGCATACTGGGACCGTCCCTGACCTCCCCCAGTGAAAGGAACAGACAACAAACAGAGGGGGATGGTTCTGCTGCGATAAATGCTGTGTTAGAGTGAAAGGGGCGCTTAGCTCAATGTGGGCCTGGGGAGAGCGTGAGATGACCAGAGATTTGGAAGGGGGCAGGGAGTCATCTGTGGGGAGAGGCGTGTACGGGGCAGAGGAACCACACGCCCTCTGCTTTGGAATGTTTAAAAGCGAGTGAGTCGGGCCTGAGGAGAGTTTGCGGGGAGCCTGCCCCAGCGCCACAGGGTCCTCTAAGCCCTGAGCACACAGCAGCACCATGCACGCTCACGCACACTCACACACACACACTTGTGCGTGCATGATGTGTGCATATGTATAGTGAGTATCAATATTATTTTGTAAGCAACTTTTAAAATTTTGTAAACAACTTTTTTAATTTATAAAAGCCATGCCTAAGGCCGGAACAATAGTATGTCGGGTCAGGCGTTTGCCTTGCAAGTGGCCGACCGGGTTTGATTCCCGGCATCCCATATGGTTCCCCCAGCTCCGCCAGGAGTAATTCCTAAGTGCAGAGCCAGGAGTAATCTCTGAGCATCACCAGGTGTGACTCAAAAGCAAAAAAAAAAAAAAAAGTCTGTACCCATAATATTTGACTATAATCACGGTCCTCCTGTTGTTCATCGATTTGCTCGAGCAGGCCCAGTAACGTCTCCATCATGAGACTTGTTGTTACTGTGTTTGGCATATTGAATACGTCACGGGTAGCTTGCCAGGCTTTGCCGTGCGGGTGAGATACTCTCAGTAGCTTGCTGGGCTCTCCGAGAGGGGCAGAGGAATCGAACTCGGGTCGGTCATGTTGGCTGCTTGTAAGGCAAATGCCCTACTGCTGTGCTATCGCTCCAGCCCTTGACTATAATAAAATTTAAAAAAAAGTCATGCATAATTTTTTTTTTGGAGGGGGTGGTGCACAACCAATTATGCTCAGGGCTTACTGCTGGCTCTGGCCTCAGGAATTATTCCTGGTTGTGCTCAGGAGACCTTATGGAAAGCCAGGATCAAGCCCGGGTGGGCTGCATGCAAGGCAAGTGTCCCATCGACTATACTGTTCTCTGGCTCAGTCATACCTGTTTTGAATCTACATAAAAGTACAACGACAGAGGGATAAATCTCAGAAACCTGAGCACTGACATGATTTGGGCCTACCTCTCTGAGACTGTGTTTATCCTGCATGTCCCACTTACTTTTTTTTCCCTGCTCAAGCCAAGGTCATCGAGCGGTGATGCCTGTGGGACTGGCCTCGGCCCCCTGGCCACAGTCAGCACCAACCTAGGGATGCCGCCCTGCAAGCCTCTGGCAAGAATGAAGTCCAGGACGCACGTCGCCAGAGCACCATCCTACTTTCTTTGGGTCTACTGAGTCACAGTGAACCAGCTGTTCTGCAGTGGAAGGGGGCTCTGTGCATGGACCCCACACACACACCACCACCACGAAGTGTCTGCTGACCTTTCCCATCCCTGTGAAAGTCCCGCAGTGCCTATACACGGGGGCCGAGCCATGTGTGCAGGCACTGAGCTGGGTGGTGCTGTCCAAAGTCAACTGTGAAACATTTCTCAATTTCTGAATCATCCCGGGAGCTGCACCCACTTTACAGAGGAGGAAGGTGAAGTTCTGAAGGGAGCCATGATGCATCGATGGGAGAGCCAATCTGGTCCAGCCCCTGGCAGTAAAGTTCTCGGCCCAGCATCCCGCCTCACGAGCCCTGTCCACATCCTGCAGAATCCTGTGCTCCTGAGCACTCTCGCTCTGCTCTGCCAAACGAGTGACCACGGGGGTGGGTGGGGGTGGGGAGGAGGGCTGAGGCGGGGAGGCACTGCATGGCGGCCCCCCCAGGGCCGCAGAGACAAGGCTGACTCACCAGTTGGCCACCAACGTGGTCTTTTGAGGGCCCACGTTTACAGCTGGCTCTCAGCCAGTGAAGCGTCCCCTCCCCAACAAAGACATCGGGCGGCCTGTCGGCGCCTCCCGTGCTGGCCCTCTCCAGCAGGCCAGAGAACTGAGCCCGGACACTACCCCATGGCTGGGAATGGGATGGGAGCGAAGGCACTGGATCTGGGCTCTGCCACTGACCCAACCCCTCAGTCTGCCAAACGGGTCTGACCTGCAGCGACCTGAGGAGAACTGAACATTTATTTTTCTTGTGCTTTTTTTAAAAAAATTTTTATAGAACCGAACATTTTAAGTATTGTGAGTCTAAATCTGATTGAAGCTTATGAAAAGCATCATCACAAACATTTACTAATGTTGCTTCCTCCCTTGGGTTGGGTTCCGGGGCAAGGCTCCTGTGCTCAGGGGGCTAAGTCTATTAGGGGAGATGTGGGGTGGGGGGAAGGTAACTGAGGGACTGGAGTGGGTAGGATACGTGCCTGGTACACAGAGCCAACTGAAGTCCAATTCTCAGCATCCCATGTGGTTTCCAGAGCCTTGCTAAGGTGATCCCTGAGCATAGCCAGGTGTAGCACAGAAAGGAGGGAGGGAAGGAAGGAAGGAAGGAAGGAAGGAAGGAAGGAAGGAAGGAAGGAAGGAAGGGAGGGAGGGAGGGAGGGAGAAAGAAAGAGAAAGAAAAGAAGAGAAAGGAAAGAAGGGAGGAAGAAAGGAAGAAAGGAAGGAAGGAAGGAAGGAAGGAAGGAAGGAAGGAAATAGGAAAAGGACAAAGGTATATGAATGGTGGTCTCCAGACGCCAAAGGTTTAGTTTCCTAGAGCTGAAGGTGGAGCAGGCAGCTGCTGATTAAAGAACTCCTCTCTCAGGGCTGGAGAGATAGCACAGCGGGTAGGGCGTTTGCCTTGCATGCTGCCGACCCGGGTTCGATTCCCAGCATCCCATATGGTCCTCTGAGCACCGCCAGGAGTAACTCCTGTGCATCGCCGGGTGTGACCCAAAAAGCAAAAATAAATAAATAACTCCTCCCTCTCTTTCTGAGTCATTTCACTTAACATGATACTTTCCATGTAGTACCACTTGTATGTAAATTTCATGACTTCGTCTTTTCTAACAGCTACATAAGAGTGCACTCATCTGGGGAACATAACGTAACAAAATAGGAGACTAACACCCAAGAATGGCCGAGATTAGTACCAGGAATTTTGTTCCATGGCTTGGAGGCCAGCCACACATGCTAGGGGAAAAGGGAGCTCAGATAGAGAAGGGAGCACCAAATAAAGGGTGTTGGGAGGATCCTCCCAGGATGGGAGAAGCATGCTGAAAGTAGACTATAGACCAAACATGATTGCCACTCAATGCCTCTTTTGCAAACCACAACACCCAATAGGAGAGAGAGAACAAAAGGGAATGACCTGCCACAGAGGCAGGGTGGGGTGGGGGGGAATGGGGGGTGGGAGGGATACTGGGATCCATGGTGGTGGGAAATGGGCACTGGTGGAGGGATGGGTATTTGATCATTGTATAACTGAAACCCAAACACAAAAATTTGTAAGTCTAGAACTGTACCTCATGGTGTCTCACTAATAAAAATTAAAAATAAATAAATACATAAAAAAAAAAAAGAACTCCTCCCTTAGGCTCAGCCTCTGCACGCTGGGACGAGCTTAGACTACGGAGCATCTCCTAGTGCCCTGGATGTCAAGTCTTTCCTTGTTTTCTTTTTTAAGAATCAGATAGTGACTAGGGTACTAAGAGCCTAATCATGCAGAGACGTTAATCACGAATCATGTGGACTCCAATCATGATGTACTATCTGCCCCCTGAATGGAGGAATAGGTAAGGTAAGGGTTAACCTACCTGACGATCATGGTTTTTTTTTTGTTTGTTTTAATGGGCCACATATGGCGGTGCTTGGGGTCTGGGGATTGACCCCCAGCCTCCTGTACGCAAGGCCTGTACAGTAGCTCTGCGAGCCATCTCCTGGGTCTGGCCTGGACATTTCAGGATGGGGAGCATGTCCCAGGAGAGTGCCGCTATGGCTATGACGATAGACATGAGAATGGACCCTTCTTTCCATCGGTGCAATGGAGCTCACTGTGGAGCACTGGCTGTGCCCAACTGAGGCTTTGGATTTGATTCTTGACAATGGGGGAAAAATTTTTTTTAAGGATTTTTATTTTCAACAAATCATGTGTGTGCACTTTACAGGCCAGAGAGCACGTCAAGATAAGTGCTCCCTGCCCAGAGGGTGACTAGTGCAGGGGGAACAGTAGATGGTCTCCAGTGAACAGAGGGAGGGAGACAGAAGAGTTGAGTGGCCTGTCCACCTCACACGGCTGGCTAGAGGTGGCCTTGCCCTGGAGGGTGCCCCAGCCTGCTGGTTCTGGGTCCCTCCTGCACAGCCCTTGCCAATGCCTCTAGGGTCAGCGGGGCTGACCGGAATGCAAGCTCAGGGTCTAAGCCAAATTCTTTTCTGTTGTTTTTCTACTTGGGGGGCCACACCTAGCAGTGCTCAAGGGCTGCTCTGTGCAGGAATGAATCACTCCTGGCAGTGGGGCTGCGGGACCAGGTATAGTGCCGGGGACTGAACGTAGGTTGCCTGCTTCTGAGCCAAATTCTCATCTAGAGTCTCCAGAAAGACCAGGGAGACAGTTAGGTGGGCTGAGCGCCTGCTTTGCTTGCGGGAACCTGGGTTTGATCCTGGCACTGCAGCGGGATTGATCCATGGCACAGCTGGGAATGGGCCTAAACACACACACACACACACACACACACACACACACACACACAAACACACAGATACAAAGATATAAACACTGCTGCCAGGGACTGGTCTTAGGGTTGGTGCCTGAACTCATGGCTTTCTCAAAACCAGGCTCACTGATTCTGTCCCTGTGAACACTATCCTGTCCCTAGGCCTGCAGCTGCCTCCTGGGCCTCTGTGCACAGAGACGGCCCAGGGACAGACAGAGACGTCTATTCAAAGCTTATATTCCAGTGAGGACTTGGGTTGTTTTCCACCAAGGGCCGGGTGAGAAGGCGCTTCCTGGAGAGAGCAAGGCCTCCTTCCTCCCCAAGCCCTACCTGTTCTCCAAAGCCCGAGACCAGGCGGCCTCTTCTAGGAGGCTCAGCCCGGGACACTTGTCCTGTTGAAATGTTTTAGAATTTCCCTTTGGTTCTGATTCCCCAGTTCAAGTCTAGGTTCCTTCGGGATGAGAGTAACTTCCAGCATGTTGCCTGAGCACCAGGCACACATGAGACTTCACACAATAAGCCCGAGAGTGTGCGCGGCCAAATACCTCCCTCTGTGCATCCCATGTGAGGAGATGCACATGCCCAGGCTCTGGCAGCAGCCAAAAATGGGCACGCCCCTTGGAGAGCAGTCTCTCAGAACTGACCTGAGGGTGAGGTCACGCTTCTCAGTGGAGAGGACATGGCGTTGGCAAAGGCCAGAGGGGGTTGAGTGCAGAGCCTGAAGGCTGACAGAACAAGTGGGGAGAAAGGAGGTTGTCCAGGCTGGAGAGCACTAACCCCACGAGGGCCCTGGGCTTCCCTGAGAGCACACAATGTGCACACAATGGTCCTTGTTAAGAAATTAAACAGCACTGGGGATAAGATGAACAGTAAACCAGGAATCAAGATAAGTGGGTTCATAAAAAGCGTCTTGACAATATCTGTACCTCAGATACCCAATCTTACTTCGTTAATTTTATCTTTTCTTAGCAGGGTGCAGTGCACTAACCCTGAGGGGCGAGAAATCATCAGGCCACCTGGAGGTGCAGATACCCTGTGTGCACTAGACTCCAAGCTCGCCTCCTTGCGCCACATGGCCCCTCCATCCTAACTAGCTCTAGGTGTGGTCCTAGTGACCCTGGAACCACATATGGGCACTGAACTGTCCAACCTGCACGGCTGGGCTGAGAATTGGAGAAGGTTCCAGATACTCCCCCAGAATGTTGCGTGGGAGGCATCTCTCCTCCCCACAAAACACATTCAATGCAAACCTAACTGAAACATGGATTTAATTAGATATTTATGGGCAATGCATCTAAGTCGATATTTCTGCAAAGAAAATATACCAAAAAAAGCGTGTAAGAAGATGCTCAATATCATTAAATCATTGGGAAATGCACATCGAACTCACATGGAGATAAGACTTCACAGTCACTGTAATGACAACTAAATGCAAATATAGACACAGTTGTCGGAGCTGATCTTTGATGAGAATTTAAATTGGGGAAGCCCCTATGGAAACAGTATGAAAATTCCCTTTTAAAAAAAGGGAGATGGAACTATGCTAGCAGTGGAACATGACTGAGCCATTAAAAAGATAAAATGTTGGGGCTAGGACGATAGCACAGTAGGTAGGGCTTGACTGCTGTACTCAGGAATGATTCCTGAGTGCAGAGCCAGGAGGAAGCCCTGAGCACTGTCGGGTGTGGCCCAAAACAAAACAAAATAGAAAGATGAAATGTGCCATGGGAACCAAAATGACTGGAATTTGGGGTGATTAGGCTGAAACAAGGAAATGAAGTGTGCCAGAGTTCCACTCATTTGTGCAACATAAGTTACAAGGCAAGTGACCTGGCAAACAATGGCAGCGAGGCTGCAGAAACCACAGAGGTTACTGGAGAGAAGGGGATGGTGGTGGGAGGGTCAGGGGAGGGACAGGGGAGTGATCTTTTGGGGTGGGATGGTTCTGGGACTTAGGTGGTGGCAGAGTTGAATCCTGTACACCTAGAGAGGTGTCACGTCATTCTCTTTGAATTCTATAATATTTTAATCTAATAATAAATCCATTTTTATTTATTTATCTATGTATTGCTTTTTGGGTCACACCCAGCGGTGCTCAGGGGTTACTCCTGGCTCTGCACTCAGTTATTACTCCTGGCGGTGCTGGGGGATCACATGGGATGCTGGGAATTGAACCTAGGTTGGCCGCATGTAAGGCAAACGCCCTACCTGCTGTGCTATCACTCTAGCCCCAATAAATCCACTTTTAGAGAAGAAAAAGCAGGGGCTGGAGTGATAGTACAGCAGGTAAGGCACTTGCTTTACAAGCAGCTGACTTGCATTTGATTCCCGGCATCCCAGATAGTCCCCAGAGCCCACCAGGGGTGATCCTTGAGTGCAGAGCCAGGAGCTAGCTCTGACACTGCGGGTATGGCGCCCCCAAATAAAACAAAGCAAAAGAAAAGCATAAGGAAATAATAAAATCAAGCTGTAAAAAATAATTTGCAATAACATGATATGTAAGAGTTATTGATAAACTTAAAATACAGCAAATGCTAGTGAGATTGGGAGAGAGTGAATCCCTCAGACATGGTTGGTGGGAATCTAACAGTGCACTGGAAAACAATCTCTAAAGGCTAAGCACACAGTTACAATATGACCCAGGTAGTCTACTCCTTAAGTGTAAGTCCACGAAAATGGGAAAGATTACATCTACATTAAAAAAAAAAACCTGACCATAAACATTGTAGTTGTATTATTCACAGTAGTGATAAGTAGAACCAACTTAAATGTTCCTTGATTGGTAAACAAGTTGGCAAAATGGATAGACAAAATGCGGTATGTCTATTTGTGAAATATTACTCAGGCATAAAAAAGAGATGAAGTGCTGATAGTAGATTCACACATTCAATATGAATGAAGAGAAAGAAGCCAATCATGAGAGACCACACATTAGATATTTCAGATATCCAGAAGGGGCCAATCTATGGAAAGAACCACAGAAAGTGGGGAGGTATTTGTCTAGGGCTAAGGGGAAGTGGGAAAATGGAGAATGACTGGGGGTAATGAAAAATGTTCTAAAATGGACTATAATGGTGATGTTCTAAAATGGTAGTGGGAGGGGGTAGGAGAGACAGTACAGAGGGTAGGGCATTTGCCTTGAACCTGGTCAACCCAGGTTCGATCCCCAGCAACTTATATGGTCCCCGAGCCTGACAAGAGTGATCCCTGAATCCAGAGCCAGAAGTAAGCCCTGAGTGTGGCCAAATACCCCAAAGTAAAGAAATAAAAAATAAAATGGTGCTAGCAGCCTCACTCTTGCAAATATACAATAAAGCCCTAGATGACATGCTTTAAATGACTGAAATATAGAAACATCAGTGGCAAATCACTTCATCGCAAATAGGAACCTCTGGGTTCAATCCCCAACACCTTCGCCCCTTTCCCTTTCAAGAAAAATGCATGTATGAAAGGAGCTGAGCACGTTACATGGCATGTCATGTGATTCCATGAATGAGAACATTGAAGAATCCTTTCTTCTGTGCGCCACTGTAACAATGGCAAGAACCACCAAATACGTCAGCAGGGGGTCACAGAGCGTCCAGTGGACTAAGCCCTTCTCCAGTACCCAAACAGAACCGTAACAGAGAGGAGCCGGAGAGACAGCACAGTGGCGAGGCCACTTGCCCTGCACCAGCTGACCAGGTTCAATCCCCAACATCCCATATGGTCCCCTGAGCCCAGCAGGAGCGATACCTGAGCACAGGGCCAGGAGTAAGCCCTGAGCAATGCCAGTGCAGCCCCAAAACAAAACAAAACAAAAAAAAACCCCAAAAAAACAAGAAACTCGGGGCTGGAGCAATAGCACAGCGGGTAGGGCGTTTGCCTTGCATGCGGCCAACCCAGGTTTGATTCCCAGCATCTTTCATGGTCCCCTGAGTACCGCCAGGAGTAATTCCTGAGTGCAGAGCCAGGAGTGACCCACAAAGCAAAAACCCAACCAACCAAACAAACAAAAAACAAAAAACAAGAAACTCAACACAGAACTTGAAGTCATAAGGAAATGGCAGCCTTCCTTCATCAACTACTAATTCTACACCAGGGGCTGTGCTAGGCACACCACAACTCTTT